TCGCCCCCGTGCCGCGCTCGCTCGTTCCTCACCGAAACGCCCCCCGTGCGGGCACCCCTGGGCCTCCTGCAGCGCCCCCTTGGTTCTCAGCCAATAAGGGGGCAGCTTAGGAAAAGAAGAGAAAAGTCCTCTTCTGAGAATGCTGGCTTGGTTCGTATTGCGACGGGAGCCTTCTCCAACCCGGTGCGCTTGTAGCGACCAGGCATTTGCAGAGCTCTGGGCTGCGGTAGGGGATGAGGCTGGAAGGCCCAGGGCCAGCCCTGCCACTTTTAACGTAGTAATCAAACCACATCTCTAAAAGCCCCCCCTCCTCACTTGCTGTCCTTGTCTAGCACATGCAGCAAAGAGATAACCGAGTTAGGAAACTTAGCATGGCTGTGCTTCTATGCCTCTGGAGCATGAAACTAAGCCAACCACGGAAAGAGCTAAAGATATGTCAGGTGCTTTTGATCTACAGGAGTCCTCATTTAGCAACCACAATTGGGACCAGCAGCTGGGTTGTGAAGCAAAGCGGTTGCTAAGTGGAACAGCGACTGTGCTTGTGATCTTACTTCAGCTTTCCTTTGTTTTAAGGACCTGCGAAGGTCGTAAATGCGAAGATTGGTCGTAAAGTTACTTTTTCATCACTGTTGTAACTGCAAATGGTTGCTAAACAAGGCAGTTGCTAAATGAGGAATACAGGTATCATCTGCCAAGGAGGAGATTTGATTTTAAGAAAAACCACCTCACTTAGCATGTTCCTATAGATGCCTGGAAATCTCCAATATTACCCATTGTAGATTGCAGGGGGACTATTGGTGTATTGATAACCTGTGTAAGACAAACCATATGTTTAGAAGTGCAAATCAAATCTTTGTTATAGACCAGCATTTCTGCCAGAAGCATGGAAAGAACTAGAAGATGATCAAATATGGAATAATTCATACATTAGCCCAGTGTTTCTCAACCTTGGCAACTTCAAGCTGTGTGGACTTCAGTTCCCAGAATTCCCCAGCCAGCATTAGCCAGTTGTAATTGTAACACCTGCAGTTTGTTTTTAACCAACTAGAGAATCTTGCTTGTCTGTGCGAGTTTGGGGTCTTGCCCTGGGACTTTTACCTAATGTGTCCTAGTGTGTTTGATCAGGCTTTGCAGACTCTTGATAAACCATTAGGAGACTACTACTTGCGTCCTGACTGAGTAGACAAGGTGAATCTTGCTACTGACCAGGTAGCCGAGAAGGGGTGGAGGCCTCTTGCAGTTTTTCCTCCAACAGCAGTAAATAGGGAAAGGGAACATTTTGTTCAATATTTTCTTGGATGGGATTAGGGTCTTCCCAACAGATTTATGGGAACCTGAAATGATTCTTATTTTGTTTTTATTTTTTGTTTTGTTTTATCAGCCTTTATTTTGACCAAGTACTATGAGGTTCCAGAGGGTTAGTTTAGGAGCCCTCTTATATTCAGCCGGTAGTAGTCAGAGATGATGGGAGCTATAGATCAGCCATCTGCAAGAAGGTACCTACCAGGGACCGAAATAAAAGCCTTGGAGAGCTGGGAGCATGGTACTAGGACACCATCATTTAAAGTTCAGAGGATTGTGAGGACCAGGAAAGGGCTTCAGATGGTAACCAGGATGACCATTTTCTGTTATTATTCTCCAGGCTTGGATGAATGAGAAATTTGCCCCTGAACTGCTAGAAAGCAAATCGGAAATTGTTGAATGTGTTATGGAGCAGCTTGAACATATGGTAAGACATCAGGAAGGGGTAATAGAATATGACTGATCTTGGTTTAGGAAGGCGTTCAGTGGCCACACTTGTTCTAGCCCAGTAACACTGTTTTGGAAGGTGATAGATTACCCATAAAGGTTTGACATATAATGGGGGAGGGGGCTCCAGGTGGGTTTATAAACCATGTTAGAGCATCATGTAGTTGATAGAAGTTGTTTGGATTTCCTAGTTTACCCTACAACCTTGGTTTCCCTAGGGGTTTCCCATCGAAATACTAACTGGGTCCAGTCTTGCTTAGCTTCAGAACCCAGGCAGGGTCAGCCAGCATCTGCTGCCACTTGCTGAGATCACAAAATCATGGTGAGGACAAAAAAATAAATAACATGTGAACCCAGCCATTGTACTTCCCATTCAACCATCCTGTTTTCCAACATAAGGCCACTGTATTATGTGACCAACAATCAGAGCTTGGGGTATATTCACTATGGCCATGAATGCTTCAAAAATGATTGGAAAAAGTGCTTCAGACCTTAACCAAGTGCAACCCTCTTCTGCTGCCCTTTAAAGCAATCTGTCTTTTCATACTTAGGAGTGAGCCTGAAAAAAAAATTGAGGCTACTTTTAAGAGCCAGTTGAGTCCTTAAAGCAACCTCAGCATGCAAAAAGAAAGGTGCTTCAGGAATAGCAGGGAGGGGCTGTGTCTGTATGAAGTCCAAAGCACGTCTTCCGAATTGTTTCATGTTCAAAGCGGGACACGGTTTGAGTATCCAGAAGCATTTGGAGAACCAAGCTCTTTTGTCAAAATGACAAAAACAATGTCACACCATTGCAATGCAACCTTTGCTCCTTGTGATGTCCCATTTCACTTCTGTTGTAGAGGCCTCTGCTGGTATCCATAAAAAAGCAGTCTTGACTCTCAGCATTGCAAATCAATGAATCATCTTGTGATGAACTGCTACTCATGGCTGTTGGCCAGCCCCATCTACTGTAGGGTGAAGGAGTTGCAAGTGTGACCAGGGGTGAGGTGCGGGTGGGGGTTGCAAAGCGTTTGTACGAGCAAATAGAAAGCAAAGCCCAGAGCAAATTTTGAGAAAGGGGTAAACTGGTAGGTCTAAATATCTCTCAGACCATCTGCAAATGACAGCGGTGCTACAGCTGGTAGATGGTTCCCTGCTGGCTAGTGACTTGTGGTTAACTGCATGGTCATATATCTGCTGTCTTTTGTATGGTCATGTATCTGGAATGCCTATAGAACAGTGTTTCTCAAGCTTGGCAACTTGAAGTTGTGTGGACTTCAACTCCCAGAATTCCCCAGCCAGCATGGCTGGCTGAGGAA